GAAATACACATAGATGGTAAAGGTTTTTCCCATTCTTCCTCTTTCCTTGAAGGATGATGTTCTTTTACTGTATAGCAATATTTTGATTCTATGAGGTTCCATTTGTTAGTGTTAGTCTTAATGCCAGACTGAATAGAATCTCTTAGCTGCTGAGAAAGGGAAAGACTGTTTTCTCTAAGACTGTAGCATCATGGTCCAGTAGAAGACTACATAGCCAATAATATTTGTAGTACAGATTTGTCTTGACGGTTTTAAAAAATAAAGACACAAAGTTGGTGGGTGGAAAGTAGTGGATGAATCTGAGAAGAGTTTTGGGTAGGAAGGTGAATGTGATTAAAACATGTCATTTGAAACTCAAAAGTCTCAATGATCTAATAAAAATAAAGCAAAATAAAATAAAATTATGAATTAAAATGTGATCAGTAGGTATAGTCAAAGCTTATTCCTAGCCCATAAATGGAAACACAGATCATTTGCCGTGATAAAATCATTGCGTGATCAGGTTTCCTGAGCCCAGAGGCTTATCTGTACATGGTCCCTAATGTATTGTTCCTCTTTTATTTAATTTAATAAAAATCATCATGAGACAATGAAAAAATCAAATTATATGTTTGTATACAAGCATTCTGCACTGAAGAGCTTAAATAGATGTTAATCTATTACTACTTTTTCTTCTCCCAATGATTTGTTACTTTAATGTTGTGTAAAACATCAAAGCATGAATTTGTATTTGCAAAAAAAAAATAGCAGAACAAATAGAATACTTAGTAACCTAGATTACAGTGAGGTTTGTCACTTTTACAGAGAGCACAGGTATTCTTTGTTTATTACAATTATGAGCCTATTGTAATAAACATGTATTATATTATTGAAATATCTCAATCTGAAATAAATGTATTGCACAGATATCTCATAACAATCCTATATTTGAAATATTTGACCAATGAGGACTTTTTAAAATTTTCAGTAAACTAAAAATTAAAAACGATGTTTTATTTGGCATTATTTTTATATTTTATCACTTAATGATATTGCTTTATTTTCAAAGGATAAAAATGAGTCACTAAGCTACTTCCCTGTACCTCTGAAAGTGTTCTGTTCCCATTGAATAACAATGCAATAATCAGAGAAATAAAATTCACCTAGTTCCTGACAAATGCCTTTATTCCTACATATAAATTTAACTTATTGTACCATGATATGACAAACCATGTCTTCAATATAAGTAAATCCAATGGGATGTATTATTTAGTATAACTTCCATGCTACTAAACTACACCATTATGTGAAATCTATAGAGCATGCAAGGGAGCGACACAGTGCTAAAATGAAAAATAAAAAAGATTATATAGAATAAACCACTTGAAGTACCTCCCACAACTGTATTACTTTTGATATACTTTTGCTTCTAGCTCCCTCCTCTAGGGCAGCTGTTTTTCCCTCTTTGTTGCAGATATGATTGAAACTGTCCTTCTTTAATTCTTGTTTTTTTCACACACGTTTTATTCAATCTTAATTTTTTTCTCAAAAACATTGTTCTATTCAAATTTAATAATTATAGATTTCTGGCTTTTAAAAATCAGTTTTTTTAAAAAAAGACAATATATACATACATATATTTATGCACATGTGTACATATATTTATGTACGTGTGTGTGTATGTGTGTGTGTGTGTGCGTGTATTCTTCAGAAAAACTCATTGAACTGTTCCTTTCTAATTCTGAGTATTCCCGTTCTTAACACTGATAATTGTCTTTTGTAATCATGACTTACAAAATTGGATCCTTTCATAGGGATGGTTAAAATCCTGAACTGTTTGTAGACATTCACCTGGTTCATAGGCAGCTCAGGCAAATGCTTGAACGATGGTTTGCCTGCAGGCTCATTTTTGGTTTCACTCTTCTAGCCTTCTGCTCAGGTTCTCTTATGTCTTCCCTTCTTCTCATTGGTTACTTGATGAATTTACCCTTCAATCTAGATTTTGTTGGACCAGGTACTTCAAAATCTTTGACTTGGGTAAGTTATTTTTCTGCTTAAAAGTTATTACAATCTGCATTATGTTATTATCACTTCTTATTTACAGTAATAGAATAAAAGTTTCTCTATGGCCTATTCACGACATTGGTACATTTGCTGCATTCTCTAGTAAATCCTTACCAATATAAATCCCTACTGATAAAGAATCTCTATCGACTCATCTGTTTCCATGCCCCCTTCTCATCCTGTTCTTCTAAATATCCCCAAAGACAAATGTAATAGATTCCTAGGGATCTCAGCCTTTGAAGGCCCACTGGGACACAGCCCTAAGACTGTAAGATTTTGGAAGATTCAATTAAAAACACTTGTGTCCAGATGCCTTCAATAAAGTCCAAGATTTTTATAGTACTGAGACACTCTGTGAAGTGTTACTGACCCATTTTTCAATGATCTTTTCTTTGAATCTCCATGCTATGATATGTCATCCAAGTACCATGCCTATATAATCTGCATATCTTTTTTTCAATGTTCACAATGTTTTATTAACTCAGATTTCCCTTTCCATTTAACATCTCTCCCTGCCCCAGGTCTAGCTCGGGTGCTACATTTCTACCATGGATTCCATGTTTGAGCTATCATTTATGAAATGATTACACTATTCTAAGTGCATATAGCTCTACATATTTCATTACCAAACTGACAACACTCTTCAGTTCCCAAAAGAATGATATTATAGACTTGAAGGGATTTGATCAGCAACTGTAAATGACCAGTAAGCCTGAGATGCTAATCAAAATACACCAACTTTACTTACACACTCACTTTATATTAGCTTCCTCTTCCTGCCCTCTGTGATGTCTTCAGCTGTATGTATTCAACTCATAACAATGGATATTTGATTCCTCATTTCATAGGTTTTAAACCCTATACTAGATTACTAATCATTAATTAAAAGGAAAACAAATCTCTGGAAAATTTAAAGATTTATATATGTAATATAAGTTTGTATCTAGATAGATGAATATACTGTTTTTGGTTTTAAAAAGCATGAACTGATGTCAGTAAAAATGGTACATTCAGATCTATTTATTGCAGCGCTAGTCTTAGTAGCTAAGTTATACAATCAGCCAAGGTGTCTGTCAGCAAATGAATGAATGAAGAAAATGTGCTAATGTGTAAAGGCAATGGAATTGTATTCATCTCTAAGTGAGAGCAACATAATGTAGTTTTCTGGAAAACGAATGCAACTGGAAATAATACATCAAACCAATAAGCCAGGCATAGACAAACAAATATTGCCAGTTTTATGTTTTCTCTCATTTGTGGGTCTTAAAATTCCATATAGAAACATAAAGCCATATACACATACACGACACACACACACAAACACGGAGAAGGAAACTAAACTAGGGTGACTATGATCACAGTATATGATAGCATGATATATTTGAATGAAATTGGCTTTATAAAACCCAATGCTATATATAAATATATGTCATTAAAATTATGTCATACCGATACAACCTTTTAAAGAGTAAGGATTACTGACGGCAGGTTACTGTCTTTGCATAATATCTCCTTGTTACTGTAATAACAAACTCTAGAAGAAATTAAATGATTATTGTGGCTTCCTTTTCATAATTTTCTTCAGACTATCTATGATGTTCTAATTAAGCTAAAAACGACTTCTATCATACCTAGCATCATAGATAGAGATTTCTTAGACGACTATTTTTTAATGCCTCAAAATGAAGTTATCCTGAAGTCCAACTCTACAATCTCTAAGGCAACTGATTCACTGTCACCTCTGTCATTTGCTCTTGATGTTTCTTTCTTACAAAATTATGACCTGACACTTCCAAAACCACATCTTATTATTATTGTAAGAGTCAGCTCAGACAAAAACCAAAACACTTGGAAAGAGGTAAAATAATATTCCAACAACTAAACATTTGAATAAGATACTATTATGTTCATGCATTAGGCATTGTCTTGGTGCTTGTGTTAAAGCTCAGTGGATTCTGGAGGCTCTGCAGAAGATCATGTCTCTTAGCCCAATACTCCAGTCTGTATGAGCTCACTTTATACCTGAAAGTAGTGAAGGTAGGCTGTGTGAACTAAGATTATTCTCATATAAGGGAAGCTGAAGCAGTTAATATATTACAGCAATTAAACAAATGTCTTGAATATAGGCAGTCTTTGAAAATAATAGGCTAATTTTTTGCTTTTATAGGAAACCGTTCCACTTAGGCAAAAAGAAACTAAAGCTGATAATAGTGTTACTATTTAGAATTGGTTTATAAAACAGTAGTATTATGGTCTATATAGTTAGAGATACCTTCTTCATTAATGGTTCCTTAATGCTTCCTATCATGCTGACATTGTGAATTGCATCTTACAAGTGTTTCTTTTATCCACATGACTTAGATTTCACAAGGACATTAACATTCAATACAGTGAAATGAAGGTATATAACAGTCTAGAGAATTTGGCATTTGATTGAGGTAGGAATTGGGTCTCATATCTTATAGTGTTTTCTAGCTAAATAATAGACTTGATACTTGCTATAGTCTATCACATTCTATACATCACATGTTCTGCCCATTAAAGTGGGATCATGACACTTCAATTTGAACCTTAGCTTTTGAGAAGGTAGTGCATCTGCTAGCAGTGCCTTTCTGTTGGCCACCTCTGAATTCCATTGCTGTAGTAGAATACCAACATCAGAAAACCAGAGAACCTAAAGTCAGGACAATGTGCACACACTGTCTCCAAAACAGCCTAAATATCTTTTAAACATGTTCTAAAATGTATTCCTTTTCATTCTACTTGTGATAACTCATAACAATTTCAACTAAGTACTTAGCTGAACAGAGTAAGGGTCCAGGTCTGTACTCTTCAGAAAAATCATTTGGCTAAGTCCACTAAACAGAGTTGTCTTTTATCAACTCACGTTTCCTGAGAGAATATCATGGGTTGGATTAGAAGGGAGATAGAAGAATTAGAAAATCCAGGGAACATACATTTCTGTGATGGTCTCAGGCAGATTTGTGGGGATCTCAGTGAGACCTTTCCCTCGGCAGTCTACAATGTTGTTGCTACAGGTACAAGCAGTAGGGCAGTGCAGCACACTACAGGAGGGAGCCATGAATGACTGGTGACCTAAAGGAGAAAAACAGAGAGAAAAAGAAATCAATGACGGTTAGATTTTTCTCTTGAAATTTCACAATCTCAAATTTAATTTCACAATAGAGAGACATGAGAAACATGCCAACTGTGCTCAGTTAAGAAAGCCCGAGACATAGGTCAAATTCTCTCACAGCTGTTCATTAAATAAGAGTCCATAATATTTGTGGAATAAATGCATTTATATCTTGAGATGTAATGCATTTGGCTCTTGAGGTTTAATAGTTGCCATAAAAGTTATAAGACTTTTTCTTTTCTTTTAAAGAAGCATTTACTTCATATATAGGCATACACTGAAGCTGTCTTCAGAAACACTAGAAGAGTGCATCAGATCCCTTTATAGATGGTTGAGAGCCACTGTGTGCTTGCTGGGAATTAAGCTCAGGACCTCTGGAAGGGAATTTAGTTCTCTTAACCATGAACTATCTCTCCAGCCCCAAATCGTAAGACATTTAGAACTTGAAAAATATTAGGAACACTAAATTCAGATTCAAGATCTGAATTCTAGTTCCAAAATGTAGTTACTTCAGAATAATTTATATTATTTCTAATGAGATTAATGGAGCTTGCAACATAATTTACTTTGTCTCTGAAGAAAATGCAGAAGACTTCCATCTTGGTTGACATAACCACTGAAGAAATTAAGTTATTCTATGGCAACAAATGCAGGAGAACACTACGTAATAAAAGTTTGGTGTCTGGAGAGATTCAAATCGCTGCTTTCTTTGAAGTTATTATAGTAATTGGTGGGATATCATTCTGTAATTGTTCATCCAAATGATTCTTTTCAGGGCTTCCTCTGTTTGATACTTTTGCTATAATCAGTCACCTGCAGTTGTGTAATTTCCGTACTCAGTATTTAAAAACAAAAGTATTCTGAAATCAGATTTCATGACCTGACTAATGAAAACCAGAACATCATCATGCAGGCTGCATCCAACAGGCACCTGCTTATCTATGGTTTCTGGAGAAAATCAGGAAAACCCTCTGGGATCTTCTGGAAAGGGTCCATACCAATGGGAGAAAAGTGCCAGAAAGAGACAATGATCTGGCTGCTAAAGCCATCCCTCCATACAAGTTCTCAAACTACAATATTCTAAGCCTAAAAACTGTGGGGAGGGACAACACACACACACACACACACACACACACACACCACAACACACACACACACACACACACACACACATACACACACACACACACACACTCAAAAAGTTAACTTGCCTTCTTCCTCATCTAGAAGGCAGCAAGGAAAAAGCAAAAAGAGAAAGACAGTGATTAGTAGAGAACTGTTAGCAATCAGACATACTGAGAACATTTGATAGCATTATAGGAAAATTCGAGCTAGATTAAAAAGTATGGGAGATGCAGATAAACTCCCTAAAACAGCTTTAAACATTCAAGTATGAGCTCAGAATTTTCCTCAGTTAAACATGTTCACTGTTTTGATGCCTGAGATTCCTCCCTTGTAAGCATAAGTGAGGAGAACAAGACCTCCATAGTTACTAGAATAAGGGGATTACAAGCACCTTATAAAAAGGGGGATTTCATATGGATGTAGTGTATGCCAACCAACCCTATAGTGCCAAATTTTTGATTACTTGTAACAGAATATAAATGATGCACAAATATGTATACACTATTTTATTGCTTACAGTCTAAAGAAGATAATGGTGAAGTTTTAGTACTGACCCTTTCTTTTGTAAATGTTTTGATCTCTGGTTGGTTGAAAAAAAATCTGTGTAATCCATAAATATGAAAAGCCAATTATATATAGTTATTTCAAACTTTGTGTGAAGTCTGGTGATGTAAAATATATGCCAAGACATATGAGGGCCTCAGTTTGATCCCCAACACCATGAAAAGTTTGTTTCATTATATTTTAAACAATTGTTCTGAAGCAGATCTAGCCATATATTTATAATTATATAATCATATATACATCTATGATATATTTGTATATATATATATATATACACACACACACACACACACACATATGTATGCATATACAGGCTGATGATGTTGAGATGTTGAACTTGGTCATACAAAATTTAAATACTTTATCATTTTCACCATATTTTAGTCTCCAATGTAGAGATTAATTCATATTGTTCATATAGTTATTTTAAGAGAATTGAAATGAGGCAACTTTATGTGAAATATTTAGATCAATACTATTTAGACATACAGAACACAGCAAATGTTAGCTGCTGATAAATTTGACTTTCAGACATTTTCGTACTTAAGATATATATATATATATCTTACATCTTACATACATATATATATATATATATGTATTACAATTGAATCATTTGAAGTGTATATCTATAAAGAGTTACCCCAACATTTTATAATTAAAATTGAGTTAGACTGAATTTTAGAGTAAGTAAGTATCTGAGGATTATCTATTCATTTTCATTAGTTAGGCTAAAAGTAGCTAATAATCATTAATAAAGGTGAAAATAACAATTTATAAGTATTGCTATAATCTTGGAATTTCTTATATTCCCATGGGATGAAAATGGAAATGTTTTACATACAAGTGACCAGTAATTGCCCTAGGTACACATATCCTAGAATTTCTTATTCTTCTCAGTGAGAAAGAGGGTCTCCATGGCGATGAGTGCATGATGACTCACTGGAAAGCAAATCTGAACCTTGGACATTTGAAATCCTCACGCCTGTTACACAATAGTGTAAAAACAATACTGTAACCTCACTGATCTTACCACTGCAGACAAATTCTCGTTTTTGAACCTCTGCTACATTATGGCCCCTTAGGTGGGATGGGCCCATACACTGAGTGTATAAGCCCACCCGTGGCCTTTGGCGAAGCCAGTCCGAGAGCCAGGCCAGGTGGCAGTCGCAGTACAGGTTGTTGGAGTGGAGTCGACTAAATGAGAGGAAGGAGTTCAAAACAAGAAAATAGGGGACAGTTAATTCAAAATTTGTTATTAAAAGTATATTCTTTTCTTTTTAATCAACACAATACAGACACATCTTAGGGAATGGCTATGCAGTTTTTCTCTGATAATGAAATTAGTTCACACATGTGAGTCAAATCCTTTACTGAGTTAAGCAAACCAAAAGCATTAAGACCATGAAATTTTATTTTGTCTATGTTAATTCAAAAGGGTTAACACCACCACCATCACCACCACCAAAACCAAAATCCAAAACCAAAACAAATAAATAACAAAACAAAAAACCCAAACAAATAAAAAAACAGCACAAGCCAAATAGTTCTACAGCTTCAACAAAATGAGAGGTAGTCCAGAGCTATGGACATAAAGAAGTATGGAGGGAGAGTATTTATAAAAACACTTGTGGCTTACAGACCAAATATTAGCAATGTTCTACCATTATTAGTTTCTATAGCAATGGCTTACAAAGTCATTTTAGCATAACACTATTTTGTTAAACAAGATAGAAAAATAATTCCACATAAGACAGTGTTTTAAACATAGCTCTTGTAATTTCTCCCCTCCATTCCCCTCTCACTCCTTCACTGCCCTGCTCCCTCCTTCCCTCCCTCTCTATGTTTCTGACTCAATCCGTCTCTCCTGCTCCCTCTCTCTGCCTCTCTCCCTCTCTGCCTCCCTCCCCCATTTCTGTCTTTCTCTCTCTCTCCCTCTCTTAGGAAAAGAATAAGTTGTACTTGGCTCCAAAGAGCAAAGAGTAAGATTCAAAGGCATCAGTGTGTGGGAGGGAAGTGATTAAATATGTCTGTCTCCTTTATGTTGCAAGGATCTGTGCAAGATCATGGATTTTTTCCAAATTGCCAATAGTATGTCTCCATTAATAAAATATCATGCAAATGTATCCACTAAATTAGGTAAATGATTTTAAACTGGCTTTTATGTTTGCTCAAGCTAAAGAATGGGGTATCTAATGCTATAAATCAAGGCTTCATTCCTAGAATTGTCTATGACAAAGTGAAACCATTTTAGCCCCTTTTAGCTGATGTGTTCAATTCTAACCCAATAATGATAATGGATAGTAAAACATAGAACTCAGACTAGAAAGATAATCAGAGTATAAAAATGGAATTTTTAAGTACCAATAATGCCATAGGAAAAAATGAGTTAACCAAAAGGGAGCTTGATGGCTTTATTCTCCTTGAGTCTGTGACTAAGAACCAGGCTGCTTTGCATTGAAACTATAAGGAATACTCTAAGGTCATACACTAGATTTTGGGAAAGGTGAGTGAGCAGGTCCCCAGATTGCTGAGAATTTGAAACACTGACACTGGTAGCCTCTGGTCCCTCCTCCAAAACTCTTTACCAGATACATCATCTAAGCCCTGTCTGTTACCATGTCTACATCAAATAGAGTGAGAAAGAGACTCAAAACATTTTAAAGTTTATTTGGAACACAAACTAGCACATGGCTACCAGTAGATGAGGACACTGAAATGCAATATCAGATTGCTTTAGCCTTTCAATAGATTTATTCTTTTAGAGAATTGAAATCATGATTTTATTTTTTCACATGCATTACATAAAGTTAATATAAGAACTGATTTTGCCAAGCATGGTTGAAATAAATAAGGCTATTAATTAATCTCATTCTCATAGGGAAATAGAATTTAGTTATTAAATTATTATTGTCAAGGTGTTAAAATGCTTATAATTCAATGTCTTATTTTTGTTTTTCTTAAGGTAAGGTCTCACTGTACATCCCTGGTTAGCTTGGAACTCACTGTGGAGCTGAGACTGGCCTTCAACTCATACTACATCTGCCTCTGCTACCTGAGCATTGGATTAAAGACCTGTGACATTCCACACAACTCAGTATATATTTATTTAAGAAATAATAATAATAAAAAGAAATAAAATGTGTGTTTCAATTAAAAGCTATTTGATTGCCTATTTATTTATGTATTATATTTATTTGTATAAGGGATAATCTCCTGCAATCCACTGTGCTTTGACCTCACTATGTAGTGGAGGTCAGCCCTGAATACTCAAACTTTCTAGCTCATCACTCAAATGATGGGATAGCATCTAAGCACTCCCATGCCAGCCTTGGTTATGTACTATTTAAAATGAGAAATATTTTGAAAACATAATCAAAATAGACTTAACTGACTAAAAAATTTACATTTCCCCACCCCAAACCCAGCTCTTAGGTTTTATTCCCGTGTTTCCAGTAATATCTTCTTAGGTTTCAGTGATTTTGAGACCCAGTTCATCAGAGAACCTTGTCTTAAAATACAAAAATTAGATATCTACACATTGGAATTTAATGATTAATTTTTCCTGGAGAGAGAAAAATAGCTGTAGCTCAGACATTATTTCACCAAAATATCTTAATGACTGTGTGTAACCCTGGGAAGTTATCTTTAACTATAAATGCTGACACAGCTTTAATTATTCAAGCACCAGCGGGTGATGCCCTGACTTTACATTACAGAGAACACTAGAGCACAATTTAGCTGTATTAGGTCTGCTTCTAATACAGTAATAAAATCATAAAGATTTCCCATTTATCACTTCTGACAGCCAATCAAGGAGTCTTCCACTTCTTAATGAAATGTGACCTCTCCAATAGCTCAAAGTAAATGTTTTATTTTCCTTCAAACTTTCTGCACTGCATATCATTTATGAGGAAGCCTTCAAGTTTTCAGAGTAACAGTGCACTTGCTAAAATAGCATTTTTTGACTTCTCAAGTTGCGCTTTCCTTTCTTATGCCATAACGAACTAGTGGTCCTCTAGTCCACTCATTACAAATTGTACTGAAGAAACAGCCATAATTTTTTAAATCCATCTTTCTGTACATTTTGACTACTTACAATGTCCTAAGTTTAGGCATATGGTTGAAACTTGCCACTGAAAGTCTAGTAATATTGTTATTGTTCAGAGTGCTGTAGAATAAAAAAAAAGTCAAAAATTTTAGTTAGATATGGGAAGTAAGTGATCATTTTATATTAACATAAAAAACTTCTTATGACTGCATTTAAGCGAACAACTAACTTACTAGTAGAGACAATATAGAGAATTCAATGTTTTAGAGAAAAGATGTTGCCTAACTTCCACAGTTCAGAAAATTACTATGCATTCAATTTTATTTAACACTTGTCATACATGTACAACTTAGGTAAGAACATTTTTACTATATGATATGATTGCATGCAAGCCTACTTACCATACGAGAGTCAGTTAGAAAACTGCACTTTACACATCTTTGTTTAATTAGTGTCTATGAAATTTTATACTGATGGACACGTCAGGTGAAATTTCATTCTGGCAACACATAGTCATTATTACAGAAGACAACTTAATTACACTTTGCTGTGCACAATGGCTACTCTAGAAATTTGGCTGTAAAATCATGCATCTGTATTTAGCATTTTCATTATTTGAGGATGAAATGGCTTGCTCTGGCATCATATAAAAGCTTTGATGTCATCTGTATTAGTTGCAGCATGGCACGCTGTACTTTGTATAATTCTTTTGGGTCACAATCTTAGTCATCATATCTTGAGGAAGAGCCAGGAAAATGGATAGTCAAAGGAGTCTTGTCAAAAAGGTATAATTCTGGCTTGTTCAAGATTGCTCCTGTTTTCCCTTAATATAAATAATGTCAAGATAATTATTTGTTATTATTTCAGAGATGGAAAAGAGAATTAATTGAATGTGAATCCCTTTGAGATTTGAGATGTATTTTTTTTTTATTTCAGACCGCTGGATACATTGTGCCATTTGACAATGTTGCTTGAGCATAATAAAATGCTAGATTTTAGACAACACAAGACAAGGGATCCAATGCTTTATAGATGCCCATACATTGTGTATTCTTTCTATATGAGTTTAGTTCATGAAGTTAGTTATTGTGTTTGTAAATACATTTCAAAACTGGTAGCAAAGACAGTCAGTCAGTGTTTTAGGTCCTCAGATGATGTAATCAACTTTACTGAGAAGTCGATTCCTGATATCCAAACAATACCATCTGGCCATCAATCGCAACCATTGATGGTTGGCATAGAGACGGTTTTCAAACGTACACCATCTACTTCAAATACATTTGAATCACAAAATAAAATAGTAGAATTAATCAGTAGTATTTTTATATATAGGAAGAAGATTGATATAAAAATTTTCACTTCCTGAGTAAGTGACATTGTTTGGCCATTTTCCATAGTACCAGGCCAACAAACAACTGAACATTACATACGTCAACTGAGAATATCATTTCTAGTTTACTAAGGAGCTCACTGTCCTCCATTGTCAGTCTCTTTTTTTTCAAGAGCTAGAGGTTTTGTTAAATAGATGTTCCAAAGAAAAAGACACACTCAAGTGTGTTTGCAGACAGCACAAGAGAATGTCCAGTCTCTTTTTCTTGACCATTCCATCTTTTGTCTAGTCATTTCATTTATGCTACTTGTCTGATCTCCACAGACTGCTCAGTTTAAAAATCTGTGCAAACACTTCATGTGGATCCAGTATAATACACCTGGATTGTCTCTGTATCTTACTTGCATGGGCGGAAACCTGAGTATTCTCACGATCCCCACTCAACAAACTCCTTTCCACTTTCACATTTCAGTCCTGTACTCCCCAGCTAAATTGGACTAGCATCACTTTCACATGATCCCAGACTATTTAAAAAAAAAAGAATCTCTTTTACCAGTACCAATACTAAGTATCTTTTGTATGTCTGATTCATCTCTGTAGTTGTGTCACTTTCAATAGAGTCTTGATATCAACTGGCATCTCTTCCCACTCTCAAAATTTAAGCTTACTCGAGATAACTAAAACCTTTGAGGGTACAAGGCATGCTGAAATTCAATTTGGGGAGATGTTTTAAGAATACGTTCTTCTTCGTATAGCCAATTTATTTTTCAACTTCAAAATTTGCTCTTTGTTACAGGAATATATTTAATAGAAAAAGATGTCGTGATGCAAAAATATAAAAGGTTACCCTTGAAATGATGAAGTATATGGTAGGGCTTTCATGATAATTTCTTAGTGCCAAGGAACAGAAGATCTGGCAGAAAGTCTGGTACCTAATGGACATGACTCATTATGTTTCCATTTAATTAAATTATGCCTATATTGTAGGCAAGAGAAAATCTGTAAAACTAGCAATTTCATTTCGGTGTCCAATGTCCAAATAAGAAAAAAGTTCCTATGGATACATTTAGTTTTCAATGGTTTTGAGGTTTCTCTTCATAGTAAGAAAATATGTAGTTAATTTTAGATACTACAACCAGAATTCCACAGGGATAGAGAGCTTACTATGAGCGATAAACTGACTCTGCTCTCATCTGCCATGACTTGTCTCTTGGCATTGCAGACATTATTAACTATCTAAAAATTCTCATGCAGATGTTTTATCAGTGATAACAGGATTACAACATATTCTCTTGTTTGCCCTCAATATTGTCAGACAATAAAAATAAATTTCAAATTAAAATTCTGGGAATCTGGACTCCCAGGTGAAGGTTAAGTTGCTAGTCTACCATTTTTCACACAAGGTCAGAAGATAAGATCCTACAGGGTCAGAATTCTGCCACTCTCTTTCAGGAAGATTGCTTAGATCTACTTGCTAGCTCCATCTTCTCAAAGTATTATCCCATTTTCCTTTATGAACCATATTATGGAAAAAATTTGTTTAAATGGATTAAATATATTATCTTTAAAATGTACATAACAAGATTACATTCATAACATCGCAAGACTTTACATTAAAATATTTAAATATTTTTAAAAGACACCCACATTTTCTTGTTCTACAAAATTTTAATTATTTTCATCTGCAAACAGGCCCTAATCATTATGTATCTCTTTAAGATAAAATTAGGAGCCCCATCCTAATGTTTTAGATTTTTATTTAACATGTTGTACAGTAATGTGCCCTGCAAATGTCAATATTTGGAAATTTTACTAAGATGAAAATAACAAACACATAGTTATTCTCTATATATGTGAAGTGTTTTTACACGTGGTGCTGACACTTGCTCTTCCTCTCCTGCGGTCTCTCATTTCCCCCGACCCCACCCCTACACACAGGAAGCAGAGTTGCCTGCACACAGGTTAAAAAGTAGCTTTAAACTAAAGTGTGTATAAGCACTTTATCTTTCAAGAGAAAAAGGAGTTTTTGTCAGTAGCAGTAAAGATGACTTACATGTACAGAACATGAGAAACACTTGTGATTAATTTTTATTAACTCTTTAAAATAACTCCGTTCAGGAGGCAGGTAGAAACTCTACCTTAATTTATAATACAAATAATGATGACATAAAAATATTATTAAAATAAGTTATCTTCATTGAAAGATTGTTAAACTTCATACTCTTTTTTCAAAGGCTCACACAATCCCCAATAAACCACACTGCCCAAATTTTTATGGGGGCGGTACTTGATAATTTCTGTACAACTTTTAACAAATTGATAAGAAAATCAAAACCACTTCACATTCAGCCCAATGCCAGATGTTTGATTATATTATAGATGAAAATAAAGCACAGAGAAATCTTTTTTACTCAAGGAGAATAGAAATTAAGGCTCTGAAATGGATCTTATCTATGGCTCATTCAAATTAAAAACTCAGTATCAAAATAAACAAATAAAAATGTTGATTTATGTCATCATGAGAAATTGCATGATTAAATAAAAACACATTTCCATACAAACCACAAACTATATTAGTAAATAAGGGGGGGTGATTCTATATTTATATCTTAATATTTAGAAATTGACAACTTCAGAAAGAAGTACCAATTATGAAGATATTCTATTAAAACAGAAAAAAGCAAAAACAAAACAAAAAAACCAGATTTTTCGAGTATTCTTAAATACAAAATGTCTATGAAGAAATATATACATGTTTTTTTCCCACATACAACTTTACTCTTCTGTGCAGTCACAAGTTTTAAAAAAGTATTTTCTTGTTAGGAGAACATTTTGACATGCGACTATGAGGCAGTAGCTAAGTCATCACATTGTCACTCTCTAGAAACGATGCTCCCAGGAAGAGAGTGAGAGAAACAAGCAATACTCACAGCACTTCCAGATCTCGCAGAGCTCTGAACGCCCCATCTTCAATGCAGCTGATCTGGTTGTAATCCAGTTGCCTGTTAAACAGATGAAAAGACTCCATGTAACAGAAAGGAGGGTGCAGGAGACCTGAAGACTTCTGAAGGGGCACTGAAGCTCTGGCCACATTTCCTGAAATGCTCCTTCACACACACTCATCTGCTTAGGAATGTCACAAGCCATTCCGCCCTCTGTGCAGCTACTGAGATCTCTTTTTGTTCTGAACTGTCTGTGCAAATAGCAGCTCTTGGAAAGCTCCAGTAAATAATAACTGCACCTTATATTAAATGCCATAGGAATGCAATTTCATTACATCAAGAAAAGCTATCCATTAAGAGCTTTCAGCGTCATCTTGCTGAAACAATTTCATTAAGGTAAAGGGCTGTAAATCACTTAATGTCACATGCACCCCCTCAGTGACCTAACTGAATCCATTTATCAGAGAAGCCCAGCTGCATGTTAATTTCACTATCCTTGGCAAGAAGGAGTAAGCCTACTTTCAGGTTTTCATCTTTTAAAAGCACTCTTCTTAACAGACTACAAACTGCAAGCAAGGAACGATGCTATGCATCTCCCCACTATGCCCAACCAAGACCACATATTACAAGCTTGAAGTCTTCATGGAAGGGTCATCACTACTTTCTAAATGTGATTTTATTATTACATGCAAATTCAATGCAGTGTTAATCAGTTAGTTTTTGGGTTAAGAAACTTTCAGAATGTGATTCTCGAAGAAAATAATTTATTCAAGATTAGGAAATAAATTCATAAAAACTTAAATGAAAATTTGCTAATTTTAGCTCCAAACAATAACAAAAATCAACTCTAAGTATTTTATTCCAACAGCCTATAAAGTATGAACATAATTTTACCTGTTATTTAAGTCCATTAAATATTATATAATTTGTAAAACTAATTCTCCATCGGTGCTTTAAATACTGAACACAAATACTCATTGGAAGAATGAATACAACTCATCTTTCAAAGTTGATTAAGTTTGTGGTATTTTTTTCTAATGTCTGTGTTTGAAATTAAAAATCATAACGTTCATGTTTAAACTTCACTTTTTATCTACGGAAGAATGAGATTGGGGGCTAAGAGCAATGAAGGGAGGGAGGAGAAACTTGTAGTCCTGTATTGTATGAGAGAAGAGTCTACTTTCAATAATTAAAAAAAAATAATTTACTTTCTTGAAATAAAGAAATAAGTATTGTCACTGAATTCCTATTTTCAACAAGCAGTTTGGACACTGGTGGCTTGATGCTTAGTGACATTATTGTTCCAGTAGAGGAAACGTGTAACAGTGGTTCACATGAGGAAGACGTGACATGTGAGCAGTATGTGATGGATATGGGAGAGTGGACATACAAGTGTGAGATTATAATTGTTATATAGATGTATCTTATCCAGGTTTCAACTCCAGAATTCACCAAGAGGCCTAATTCACATTTGGGGATAGCCCTTACAAAACTGTTTGAACACTCTGTAAAACAGCTGGTTCTCTTTCGTGGCTACCAAATAGGGGTGTTGAGATTTCATCTGGTGGCTTTCAGAGAGGCCTCTTTAAATCACTTATGTAGAAATTACATATGTAGGAGATATTTCATGACTGCCCCATATCATTTTAAACAAGTCTCTAGGGGACACCAACACAGACAATACCAACTTGATGCTACATAAATAATAAAATACAGGATAATATAAAAGCAGGCCAATCTTGCGAATGATACAATTTCACTGAATTTATAAATCTAAGTTTTCCCTCAATTACAGCCAGGATTCTTAGTACTGTAATAGTTGAAAGCTTTTCCTGCTTATTAGGAAGTAATGCAAAAGTGTAATTTCATTTTCCAGGAAGACGTTTAAATCTCATGATATAATACAGCTGCAGAGGTTCCAAGAAAACACTTAAATCCTTGAGCACTTTTGATTTTTAAAGATTAAATTCATTTAACAATTAAGTTAATAGCCTTTTTATTTCAAAGTGCTAAATATATATCTACACTACTATTCTCTAACCTCTTGAACAATTTATCAAAGCCATTTAAATTAGTACAGTGGCATGAAGTGTTACCCTTGACGTGCTACAAAAGAGAAATTGTTTCCAGACAAATTGGCAAAATCTTTTAATGCTATCGAATTTGCCTAATGCAGTCTCCAGGTTAATCTGTAAAAGGGTGAGCTGTATGTTTGCCCATATCTTTTTATCCTTAGCTGTCAATGTATAAATCAGCGCTGACACAGCTTCTTTTAAATCATGCATACAATGCACCAAGGGGAATCTGGAGCATGCCAGAAAGCACTCAGGCAAATCTTGTTCTACAAGGACTGAAAGAACCATCACTTTCCTTATGCCAGAATTTGCACTATAGCTGGAAACTTTGAACTCCATTTTGGTATCATGTGTGGTTACAAGTTTCTCTTGACAGCATATAGACTTGTTCCTTCTGTAAACAAGGAAAGGGTCTGGTCTTGCAACATGGAATTGTCATGGGTTAAGGAATCCAGTTTTAATTAATTATTTAGCCCAAAAATTTAGTCTTTAAAGAGTTCAAATGAAAAGACCATTAGTGAGATTTGGAAAGATTTCCTGATGCTTTCATTATATGTGAGCTACTTTCTCACCATGTAGAGATTTTCATATTTATTTGAAGAAAGAACACTACTGTGTTTAAGTTTTCTTTGACCTTCAGTCAACCTGAATTATCATGGGTGTTTGTGTCTTTCCTTTATATTTTTCATTTTAAAACCTTCACTTTGCTTCTGTTCAACTGTGAAATCACCACTCCAGTTGCTACATCACTGTTCTAGTTTGTGGGTTTGTCTTTACAAGCACCACATGATTTTATGCAAATAGAGAGGTCATAAATAATCATCCTCATCCTCACCTCACCAAGCATCTCGCCAAGCATCAAGTCCTATGATTCTTTTTTCGGTGGTGGACAAGGATCCACTGATTCCTGGGAAACCCCAGGTTTTCTGTTTGATGGTTCCTAGCTTTGGAGGTTGTAGTTGCAGACAGCACCATTTGACAGTAGACTCCTACACTGAACAATACATGTCATGACTCACACATAGATTTCATGAAGCTGATTTTGTTTTATTTCACCATAAATAGCTGCTGAGTGTAATTAATGGAAATAATATAACATCTTTGAAATGTTAGATCTAAAGTATGTATAATAAATAAAACATTTAAACACAATACAGCTAGAGATGCTGTATTATTGTTAAAGTTTTCTTAAATTATGCCCTATTTCCTTTCTTTAAAATATAGCTACCATACTGAATTTTAAAATAATTTATACAACTTACTTCATAGTGTTAAATTTAGATGATTGTATCTATAACCAATTTGTAAATTTTTATAGCAGGTAGGATAATGTTCGGTTGCTAATTGGCCTTCTTTCCTAAGAATTAGAATATGTAAAATACAGTTAACTGTGAAATATTACAAAGCATTAAAAAATTATAATAAAAATAATGTGTGGTCCAGGAAAGAACATCCAATTTCTCAATGAAGTAAGTATGAAAATGCCAAAATTTTGTTGTATTTTTTTTATCTCAGGAGCGAGAAGTGGTGTGTCATTTATATTGCTATTATAACATAAAAGACTTTAAAATTTTAGACAGTTTACAACACACCGAAGTGGTCAGATGTTTTATAATCTAAATAAACATGATTTTCTAAAAATTGAATCACCAAGGAAGAAAAGAGATTAAAGTCTCTTAATATGGGTAAAGTACTTTTCTGTAAAGGTAAAATTAAAAATTCATATAAGTTCCTAAATGTACAAATCCATGCCAAACAGTACTTAATCCATACTTTATAATTTAAATAATAATACATAAAATAAGAAAATAGCACAATTTGAACTATATCAACAAACATCTTGAATATTAATTTCAATAACCACATGACTTCTCTCAGAATAAGAGCTCACCATCAGGAATCTGGTTCTGGGGCACTACATGATAAGGTAAAAATCTATTCTAAAAATCATGGGATTTTTGCATAATCTGATATTTAATTGCTTTACAGTCTTTAAGGCAATGCTTTGTATATCTCAGTAACAGTAACTTCAAATTTTATTAGGTTATGAAATATTACAAACTTATATGAATTTGCTATTTGAACGGAGAAAAAGAAACAACCAGATTAAAAGAAATATTTTGTAACAGACAGTAAGGAGGAAATAACTAGAATAATATTTGAGTCCAGGTATTCCTCAGAAAATTAACCAAGCTGTTTGAAACTAAGAATGATTATAATAAACACATTTATTTACCACACAGCACATGCTATAGGATGACTGTATACAATCTCATTACCCTTCATAGTAATGTGAGAAGGTAAAAATTGCTTGCAACTCAATCTCATAGATGGAATAATAATAAGACTCAAAAACTCTGAGAACTATGCAGTAAGCAGCAAATACTGTGTTTAGCTTTGATTGGAATTGAGAGTGACATATTTCTCAGATCCTCATGCAGTGTCCAAGAGGCTACAGAAGCAAATTCACAGTGCTTTTTCTGCTTCAAGTGAAGTTTTAGAGAAATAGATGGCCAAGATTCAAAGAAGTAATGTATTTCGGAAAAGGCAATGATTCCTCTAGGTGGAGGAAGTTTAATGAGTGTTGCAAAATGCATATATATCTTTATTGTTTTAAGATGTGGCTCAGAGGTAGAATGTTTATCTAGCATGCATTAAGCCCTGGATTCAATTCACAGCATTATATCATATCAAAGTGCTCATATCTTTTTCTCTTCTCAAATAGAAATAGAGTTTTATAGATGAAAGAACAGCTCCATGGGAAAAAATTGTGAGAACAAGCAGTATAAGGTTAAGGGAATGTTTTTAGGACCAGAGGTATTTGGGGTGGAGCAGAGAGCTTCTATAGAGAAACAACAGCTCAAAGCAGAAAGTTCTTGTCACAGTCAGAACATTCTAACTAGTCAGAATGTCTACAGAGAACATTCAATACGCTCTTTTAGTTAAACTCTGTATTCTTACAGACCATACGGAACTAAGGCCATG